TCTGCGCACTGGGTTTGGGGGGGGGGGTTGTTTGGGGGCCATAAATCAGCGACGCTCAGGGGCTACTCCTGACTCCGCACACAAGAATCATTCCCGAGAGTGCTCAGAGAGGCTGAAGATCGAACTCGGGCCGAATGCAAGGCCAGCGCCCTCTGCTGCACCATCCGCCCGGCCCTTTCCTTTCTAGGATCTGAGGCTAGGAACACTGAACCTGGGAGGCCCAGTTCTGGCATTTTCCACGGAGGGTCAACTGGCTACTCCTGGCCGGGGGTGACCAGGTGCTGTGGTGTCCGGGCCTCCCACATGCAGAGTCTGCACCCAGCTCTGTACACTCACGGTCCCCTGCCGTGCTGCAAAACCCAAACCAGTCAACGACCAGAACGGAGTGAAGTGAAATGACCCCGGAGTTGGCGGATCAGTGAGGGAGAAGCATCCCTGCAAGCTCCCACATCAGGGTTCTCTGATTCTCTCCATTTCCGGGTCTGCCTGTCTGTCTGTCTGTCTCCCCCGCCCTACAATGCTCAACTGTGCTCAGGGCTTACTCCTGGCTCTGGGCTCGGTGATCGCTCCCGGCAGCCTTGAGGGGACCCAGACCGGTCCACGGTGCCGCGGCTCAGACCTGGCGGAGCGGCGTGCACGGCAAGCGCCCACCCGCTGCACTACCGCTCCGGCCCGTTCTCCCTCAAGGCTGTGAGAGCAAACGGGCGTCATCTCAAGCACCAAGGGGTGGGGCGGAAGAGACGGCGGTTGTGCATGGGCTCAGTGGGAAGAAGGGGTATCAGGGCTGAGGCATCATGTCTGCCCCAGTGCATCGTTTAATTTGGTCATGCGCATTCGTTCGAAAAGAGGGAAAAGCAAAAACCCTTCTGGAAAGAACCGCGAGCAAGGAGAGGGCTTGCTCAGCCGTCACCGCGGGTGCTGGGCCTGGGCTGAGAGTCCTCGGCCTTCATGGGACACAAGCGAGACTCTGCACACAGGTGAGCGCTAAGAGGGTCCGTCAGGACCAGTGGCCAAGGGGCCAGAGAGACAGCGCAGTGGGTAGGGCGCTGGCCTCGCAGGCGACAGATGCAGGTTCGATTCCCGGCATCCCGCAGGGGCCCCCCGAGCCCCGCCAGGAGGGATCCCCGAGAGCAGAGTCAGGAGTGACCCCTGAGCATCGCCGGGCTTGGCCCAGAAAACTAACAAACAAAAAGAGAACCAGAGTAAGAGGCCGGAAAGCAGGAGGAGGGCTTCCAGGGAGACGCGGGCACAACGCCAGCCAGCCCCGGGGAAAGCGCCTCACAGATGCCCAGGCGGGTCCTCGCAGCCACCCAGGCTTCTGGGCAGGGAGTGAGCGGCTGAAGGGCCTCGCCTCTCCCACCCGGGGTCTCCCCTGCTCCCTCTGCCCGCTCTGAGAATCCTCCAGAAGAGCTGCCCAGCTGACCTGCAGGGCACGGCCCGAGGGCTTCGCGGAGGCCAGCTGCAAGCCGATCGGGCCTGGGGGGATCCGATTACTGGGTCAGCGGGAGAGAATGATGGCCTGGGGGTGGACGGGGTCAGGCTCGGGCTGGGGGCTGCTGCCAGGAAGGGTGGGCCCCAGGCAGGCCAAAGAAAGGCCCTCATCACGGGGTGTCACAAACCACACGGCCCCCGGGCTCCGCTGTGTTGGCTCCAAGGTGCAAAATGCCTTCGCTCCCTTTGACGCCCGCCCGTCGTCTAGACTCTGGCGGCTGGAGCCAAGAGATCCGGACGAGGATGCTACAGGGCAGGAGCGAGGCGGGTGTCCAGGCTCAGCGAGCTCCCGGGAGGGACGGACAATAGAATTCCAAGTGGCTAAGTACACGGAGTGCCAAGCTCGCGCCCTGCAGGGGAGGAAGAGCAGCCTCCATCTTCCCTCGAAGAAGGACCCAAGGGCCGAAGAGATAACACAATGGGTAGCGCACTTGCCTTGCACACGCAGACCTGGGTTCGGTCCCCAGCCCCCAGTGGGATCCCCTGAGCCCTCCAGGAGTAATTCCTGAGAGCACAGCTAAAAGCAAGCCCTGAGCACTGCCAGATGTGAACCCCCCCCCCCTCCATTGCACAAAAAGAAGTGGGCATGGCTCCCAAACCAAAGAATTTCAGGGACCAGGGAGACAGGACAGGTAAGGCGCTTACTGACCCAGATTTGGTCCCCAACATCCCACAGGGTCCCCTGGGCACGGCAGGAGTGACTCCTGAGTGCAGAGTCGGGAGTAAGCTCTGAGCACCACCAGGCATGGCTCCAAACCAACCAACCAAAGACCCAACCAACCATCTCAATGGCTGAGAAAGAATCCAGTGATCTTCAACACCTGGCTGGGGACGCACGGCCGAGACCCCCAGAACTCGCTCACAGACACGGAGTTCTGGGCCCTGGCGAAGCCTCAGCTAAGAGGCCGGGAGAGCCTGGCGCCCATCACTTCGTTGCCGGGCTTGATTTTCCTCCAAGAACACAACTAAACACCTCCTACAAGCCCAGCTACCGGGCTGGAGCGATAGCACAGCGGGGAGGGCGTTTGCCTTGCACGCGGCCGACCCGGGGTTCGATTCCCAGCATCCCATCCCTGAGCACCACTGGGAGTAACTCCTGAGTGCAGAGCCCGGAGGAACCCCTGAGCATCGCCAGGTGTGACCCAAAAAGCAAAAAAAAAAAAAAAAAAGGTCCAGTCTGGGCTACAGCGGCGTTTTAAATCCGCCCTGGGAGGCAGCCGTGGACATCCTCCCTGTCTCCAGGGAGCTGCCTGGCCCCCCGGGATGCGGCGCCCAGCACACAATGGTCTTTTGAGCTCAGAAGAGGGAGGAAGTCGCGGCCGGCTCCAGCTGCCACCACCCAGTGTCCCCACAAGCAGCCAGGCCACCGCATCCAATGGCAGCGTCCACAGAGGTGGAGCGATGGAGTGATGGGCCGCCTTGCTGCGAGGGGTGGGGGTGGGGGGGCATGGCTTCTCCACCCCACACCGTGGACACTGGGCCTGAGACCTGCTGGGTGTCTGGAGGGCAGCCTCCACCCCACCAGCCTCGGGGCCACCACACTTAAAAAGGGTGCACAGAACCCAAGACGGGAACTAAAGGATGATGGAGGGACGGGTGGACGAGGGGCAGGGAGGCCTGACAGAAGAACGACATAGTCTTGTTTCTGGGGCCACACTCAGCGGTGCTCACTCCTGACCTGCGTGGCGCTGGGTATCGAACCTGGGCGGGCAGTGGGCAAGGCAAAACGCCCTACCTGCTGGAACACTGACTCTCCATGTGTGTCCCGACCCCGACACTGATGATCCAAACATCCTGTCCACCGGTGTCCATCCACGGGGCCAGGAACCCCTCTGGGCGTACGAAGAAAGCCCCCACCCTACACACGCACGACTTCCGCCGGTCTGAGAATCACAGAGCCCAAGCAAGCGCACTCAGACACTGGTCAGCCATCGGCTGAAGGAGCCAAGACGGGCCCAGGAAGGGGATAATGACGCCCCCCCCCCACAACAACACACCCCAAAACACACATCGCTAAGACGGAGCACCTTGGCGGAGCCAGGGCGTGACACCTGGGGTCTCACAGTCCTGCAGGAAATGCAGCCCACCCACCCCACCCCACCCCCGCCCTGCCACCCCCAGCAGCGGGGTCAACGGGGAACCTGAGCACCCAGCTGGGCGGGGAGGACCTGCTGGTGGGTGTCGGCTGGGCTCTGCCTAGTTGGGGACCAACACGTGCCCGCACTGCCTGCCTGGCTGGATGGACGGGCCAGGGGCAAGGTCACAAGGCAGGGAAGAAGGCCAGGGCTCCGGTTACACCCTTTCCTGGATCCCAAACCCAAGGGCAGGGGCAACCGGTATTGTGTTCAATCTCCCATTTTCCATCCAAGGCCGGGGCTGGGCTGGGGGTGAGGGTTGGGCCCGGCAGAAGCGGAAGGGAGACTGCTCAGGCCGGGGCCCCTGCACCCCTGCACTCCTCAGGCCGCCCTGAGAGGATTCTATGGGGAAGGGGGAGGGGTCTTCCTCTTCCCCTTTTTTTTCTTTTTGGGCAGTGCTCAGGACTAACTCCCGGCTCTCAACTTGGGGACCCTACGGGATGCTGGGGACCGAACCTGGGTAGGCTGCAAGCAAGAAGCGGCCTCCCCACAGTCCCATCGCTCCAGCCCCTGCAGGGGTGGGATGGGGGGGGTGTCTTCCTCTTCTAAAGCCCAAAGGAGGGGTTCCCTGTGTTGGAAATCAACCCCCCGCCCGCTCCCCAGAACTGCTCCCCTGGCCCTGACACCTGTTCCAGGGGGAGGGGGCAAGAGAAGGAAAGGAAAAGGAAAAACCCGCCTCTGGGTGGTTTTCTAGAAGGGGACTTTGGCCTTTTTGCGACCCATCTTCACCCAAAGGCAGGGGCTGGGGGGAGAGGCGGTGGGGCTGTCTCCGGAGGGGGGAGGGATTGTGGGGGTCGCTGCGGGAGGGAGGGAGGGAGGCGGGGAGCACTTGAGGAGAGGGCAAAAGGAGAAGGGGGCTGGGGAAGGGAGTTCAGACCACCCGACCACCCGGGATGGGGAGACGGAGGGAGGGAGGGAGGGAGGGGTGGGATGCTGGGAGGGAACCGGGCTTCGAGGACCAGTACTGGGAGGAGGATGGGGGGGGCTGCCACGGCGGGATGGGAGCGACCCGGGGTGGGAGAATGGGGGCGGGTGGGAGGGTTGTCAGCTGGACACTGGCCCGGAGGAGCAACTGGGCAGCAGAGAGAAGGAGCGAGGGGCCGGGGAGGGAGGGAGGGGTGGGATGCTGGGAGGGAAACGGGCTTCGAGGACCAGTCCTGGGAGGGGGACGGGGCTGCCACGGGGTGTCCAGGGCGGGAGAACGGGGGGGGGGGTGTCCGCTGGACACTGGCCCGGGGGAGGGCGACTGGGCAGCAGCGGGGGGCGGGGGGGCAGGGCGCGGCGCGGGGTCCGGGGCGGCCCGGGAGGAGGCGGGGCACCCCGGGGGTCCCCGGGCGCGCCGCGGGGGGGGGCGGGGACCCCGGCCCGGCTCACCGAAGAAGGGCGGCAGGTGGGACACCGCCTCCAGGAAGGGCCCCGTCTCGATCTGGCGGTCGGCGGGCAGCGGCTTGAGCAGGTGCTCGGCCAGCAGCGCCATCTCGGGGTCGAGGCCGGCGGTGATGCCCCAGCCGGCGCCGCGGGGGTCCGCGCCGCCCCCCCGGCCCGCCGCCGCCGCCGCCGCCGCCGTCCGCAGGCTCCGGGGCCGCCAGCGTCGCCACTTCCGCCCGCGCCGCGCCGCCCCCCCAGCGCCCAGCGCCGCCCGCCGGCCGCGCGCGCCTAAGCCGCCGCCGCGCGCCCCGCCCCGCCCCGCCCCCCGCCGCGCGCCGCCAATCCGAGCCCGCCGCTGCCGCCCCCGCCCCGCCCCCGCCCCGCCCCCGCCGCGCGCCGCCAATCCGCGCCCGCCGCCGCCGCCGCGCGCCCCGCCCCCGCCCCGCCCCCGCCGCGCGCCGCCAATCCGCGCCCGCCGCCGCCGCCGCGCGCCCCGCCCCGCCCCGCCCCCCGCCGCGCGCCGCCAATCCGCGCCCGCCGCCGCCGCCGCGCGCCCCGCCCCGCCCCGCCCCCGCCGCGCGCCGCCAATCCGCGCCCGCCGCCGCCGCCGCGCGCCCCGCCCCGCCCCGCCCCCGCCGCGCGCCGCCAATCCGCGCCCGCCGCCGCCGCCGCCCGCCCCGCCCCCGCCCCGCCCCCGCCGCCGCCGCCCGCCCAATCCGCGCCCCTGCGGCGGGCCCCCGCGCCCCGATTGGCTGCGGGGCGGGGCTTCCCGCCCGTCCCGCCCCCCTCGCGGAAGCGCGCCCGCCCGCGCGCCGCCCGGTCCGCTGCCCGGCTCCGTCCGTCCCGTCCGGCGGGCGTGTGTCCTGCCGCCCCCGGCCGGCCCCGGCGCGGGCGGACCGGCGCGGGGCGCGGCCCTGCCTGATCGGGGGCGTGGGCCGAGCCTGCTCGCATCTCACGCGGGCCCGCAGTGAGCACACCTTGCAGCCCCGCCTTTCCCAAGATCCCCGCTGCCCCCCAGGTCGGTTCTGCCCGAGTCCCCCAGCGACTGGGCCAGGCCCAACCGGGATGCTGGTCACCCCCGGACCTCGGACCGCTCGATTCTCACACGCTGATGGAGCGTGATGGAGCATGTGGCCGGCCTCGAGACCAGCCCCAGCAGGTGGTGCCTCCAAACCTACCCTCATGACCCACAGCCCAGGACACGTGGTTAGCACCCCCTGGACCACTCTTCTTTGGTAGTTCATTTATTTACTGAATCACTGTGAGACAGTTACAAGCTGTCATGTTTGGGTTACAGTCACACGATGCTCAAACACCCACCCCTCCACCAGCGCACATTCCCCACCACCAATATCCCCAGCATACCCCCCCCCCCCACCTTTGTGGCGTATTCAGTATGCCAAAAACCAGTGACAATGATGGGTCTCATTTTCCTGACCCGGAAAGAGCCCCCAATGTGGCACTCTTTAAAATCTCAGGGCTAGGACGAAGGAGACGGTACTGGAGCCTGCTCAAGGCAATCGATGACCAACAGGATGACAGTGATACAGTGATACCCCCCCTTCCCACCCTCCCCCTGCCTCCATGGCAGACAACATTCCCCACACTCTCTCTCTACTTTGGGGCATTATGGTTTGCAATACAGACACTGACAGGCCATCAGGTTTGGTCCTTGATCTACTTTCAGCACACACCTCCCATCCTGACCGGTTCCTCAGGCCATCGTTTACTTAGTGATCCCTTCTCTATGGTGCTTTCTCCCCTTTGCTCATGAGGCAGGCTCCCAGCCATGGAGGAATCTTCCTGTCCCATGTAGCTACTATCCTTAGGTGTCAGTTCTGGACCACTCTTCACCTTAGTCACAACCCACCGTAATGCTGCTACGTTCGAACCTGATGCTCAATTGTTCTGAAAATCAAGCGCCTTTTGTAGAGAGCTTCTCCACGTTCTTTTCCACACACACACACACACACACACACACGCACACACACACACACACACATCACTCTACTCCCACTAAGGGGCAAGTCCGCTGCTTAAGTATCAAGGATGGAAGAATAGGATAGAAAAAAGTCACCACCCCTGCAAGGCGGGTATTGACTGAGAAACACAACACAGTACAATACTGAATATAGAAAGTAGGGGCTGGATCTATGGCACAGCGGGGAGGGCGTTTGCCTTGCACGCGGCCAACCAAGGTTCGAGTCCCAGCATCCCATATGGTCTCCCGAGCACCACCAGGAGTAATTCCCGAGGGCAGAGCCAGGAGTAATCACTGAGCATCGCCAGGTGTGACCCAAAAAGCAAATATATAAATATATATAAGCAAATTCAGATACTAAGTGCAAAAAAGGATTTTATATATATATATATTTTTTTAAAGCAAGCAGTGGGGCCGGAGCGATAGCACAGTGGGTAGGGCATTTGCCTTGCACATGGCCGACCTGGGTTCGATCCCCGGCATCCCATATGGTCCCCCAAGCACCGCCAGGAGTAATTCCTGAGTGCAGAGCCAGGAGTAACCCTTGAGCATCGCTTGGTGTGACCCAAAAAGCAAAAAAAAATAAATAAAGTTTCGGATTTTAAAAAAATAAAAAGTACAGAGGTAGGGCATTCGCCTTACAAGCGGCCAACGTGGCCGACCCAAGTTCGATTCCTCCGCCCCTCTTGGAGAGCCCAGCAAGCTACCGAGAGTATCTCGCCCGCACGGCAGAGCCTGGCAAGCTCCCCGTGACGTATTCCATATGCCAAACACAGTAACAACAAGTCTCATGATGGAGACGTTACTGGGCCCGCTCGAGCAAATCGCTGAAGAACGGGAGGACTGTGACCGTGACTTGCTTCACTGAAAAAATAAATAAATAAATAAAAGCATTGGGGTGTCAGGATAACTGAGGTCGTGATTAAGATAGGATGTGAGGTACTATGTAGCTCTTAGAAAAGATGAAGTCATGAAATTTACATACAAGTGGTACTACATGGAAAGTATCATGCTAAGCGAAATGAGTCAGAAAGAGAGGGATAGACATAGAAAGATTGCATTCATCTGGGGGATATAAAGCAACAAAATATGAGATCAATACCTAAGAATAGCTGAGATCAATACCAGGAGGATTACTCCATAGCTTAGAGGGCAGCCGGGTATTCTAGGGGAAAGGGCCGTTCAGATAGAGAAGGGAGCACCAAATAAAGGGTGTTTGGAGGACCCTCCCAGGAGGGGAAATGCATGTTGAAAGTAGACTATGGACTGAACATGATTGCCACTCAATGCCTCTTTTGCAGACCACAACACCCAAAAGGAGAGAGAGAACAAAGGGGAATGCCCTGCCACAGAGGCAGAGTGGGAGGGGGGGTGGGAGGGATATTATCCATGGTGGTGGGAAATGGGCACGGGTGGAGGGATGGGTATTTGATCATTGTGTGACCGAAACCCAAGCACAAAGATTTTAAATCTACAACTGTACCTCATGGTGCTTCACTAATAAATAAATAAATAAATAAATAAAAATTCATCCAAAATTACAAAAATTAAGATTAAATTATTTCCTGATGACACTAAAAAAAAAAAAAGATAGGATGTGAGGTGTCCAGGAGTTAGTGGCTACAAAAGATGAAGTCTGAGCTGATACTGGAAGGTGAGTAGCTGGAACATCTGCGAGAGCCTGAGGAGGGAGCCTGATCCAGAGGCTTCCTGGTGCCTTATGCCACCTGCCCTATGAGCTTAAGGTCTCAGTTTTGATCCCTGATGCCACTGTTATGTGTCACTGCCTTCACAGCGCTGCCCTTCCAGCCCGGTAGCACTGCTGTCTGTGAGTCCCCAGAGCTGTAAACGATCTCAGGCTGGACCACAGCTACTGTGGATAAGCGTCCCAAGGAAAGGACGCCGCCCCCCAGAGAGCACATCTACAAGACGTGTGAGCAAAGCAGCCGGTGTATGGGCTCCAGTGAGCACCGAAACCTGACATGCAAGCGCTGAGTAGCACAGCTAAACGTGTGAGCACCACAACCAAGCACGGATGCGAGGCTCAGGTCATCACAACCACATCCACCGAGGGAAGGGACGTGGGTGGCACGAAGCTTGTGCGAACCAGCAGGGCAACCCAGGCTTAGGGGCTGGAGCGAAGGGAACATGTTTGGTGATCAGGGGGCATCTTGGGTCGGGGGCGGGTGGTAGGGTTTGAATTTTACGGACAGTGAACAAGCACTGATGCCAGAAATGAAATCACCCAGTACATTAGATGTTTCCCATGGAAGCTTCCAGAGGGGGTTCAGCTGGGGACATTTCCAAACCCAAGTGCATGACCCGGGAAGAGAGAGGAAATGAGAGAGTCTGGGGAAGACAGAGGTGTTATCACTCCTTGCTCATCCCCCAGTGCTGGCGTGCCTCATCAAGTCAGATCTGCCAAGATAGGAGTCTCTGGCATCATTAGGTGTGTTCTCACTCCACCCAAGCTCAGCACCGCAGGCAGCCTGAGATAGCATCTCCTGGAAGCCTCACCAGCCCGCCCAGCACCCTGATCCGGTGCCCAAACCCCACCCACCTTTCAAACACCTCCATCTGAGAGAACGCAGCCCACGGGAGACTTCCAGAACGCAGTGACACTTTGATTTCTCAACTTGCTCCAGCCCAGTCCAACCACTCGGACTACGGCTACTACAAGAAATTCAAGTCTGCAAGAACTGTCTTGCCACAGAAAATAGGTTGCATGTGTTAAGAGAGGTCATTGTGCTGGGCTAATGGAGTCTTGAAAGTTTATTAATCCATCCATTTATCAATCTACCGACGTATCCACCTATCCATCTAATCCATCCAACTATCTACCACTCACCTATCTATCTATCCTTTCATCCGTCCACCCACCACCCATTCATCTATCCATCCACCCACCCACCCACCCACTCATCCATCCACCCACCCACTCATCCATCCATTCGTCCATCCGTCCATCCATCCATCCATCCATCCATCCATCCATCCATCCATCCAAGAATGTTTCTTTTGTTTTTGTGTCAAACCAGGCACTGCTTAGGAGTTGTTCCTGGATCTTCACTCAGGAATCATTCCTGTCAGTGTTTGGGGGACAATATAGGATGCTGGGGATCAAAACTGGGTCGGCTGCATGCAAGGAAAACGCCCTACTTGCTGTACTCTGGCTTCTGTGTTTCCATTCAAGAAATGTGCTAAGTGACCTCTCCGGGGTGGATTCCCCTAACTTATGAGAGGGACTGGTTTG